TTTTTAGAAACTTAGACTCCTTATATACTGATAAACTCCACTTAGACTGCGATTCATCAGTTCGATCATTTAATTTTTGTTAGGATCAATTTCTTCTCTATAACAAATATTTTGTTGTTTAATATAAGGATTGCTATTTCATGTAGGGTGTGGTACAAAATTAAGATCACAATCTCAGTATAATCAATATCGTAATTGTTAATCTCTATGTCAAAAAATTATACACACCAAATATGGGATAATATAATCTAATAATTTATTCCTAATTAATTATAATTTTAACATGCTAATCATCAAACGATCTGTTAAAATTCATAATTTTAAATATATTATAATATTTTTATAATTATAAAATCTTATCATTAACCAAAGTTCAAAGAATATTGGCTAGACATAATCCACTAGTATAATTATTATTCTCTATCGACCATCATAGTATAAATTGATTAGTGTCTCTTCCTTTTCCCCTCAGCAAATGCAAAGACATTGATTTCGAGGTATATATATATTGACTCAAAAATCAACAAAAATTGTGGCGAAATGAATTGACATTTCTTCATACTAAATAAAGAAAAGAGTGGAGATTCACAAATAACATCTTATCAGATCGATCAAAAGAAAAGATTTCACATTTGAACTGTATTAAATATCCAAGGACCAAGTATATACAAATTTTACCTCTATAACCCTACTCATGGGGATAGAGAATGTTTCTGATAAACTCTCAACTAAAAAAAAAGCATTTAAATAAGGAAAAGCAACAATGAAGAAGATGAGACAACTAGTAATAAATTGAGTTACATTGAATTCTAAAAGAAGCAAATTACATCAGCATATTAATGTGATTTTTTTATATATATATATATATGATATATCATCGAATTAATGTGATAGAAACACAAAAATCGAAAAACATAGAAACTTAAAAACTACAAGAATAAACCAATTAATACTATATATATAAGTTTGGAGCCAACGGGGTCTATCGTTTAACTTTTGAAAAAACAATGGACTAAAACATACATGAAAAAATGCTTAAATTCTTCACTTCCTTGTTCGTGACATTAAAACACTGAAAAAAGAAACGTTATTCGTAAAAATACAATGAATGCCACTCACTAAGCCTGTGAGACCCGACCTAACTAAATTTGGGATTCAATGGAATCAATTGATTAACTTTCAAAAAATCAATGGAAATACGCATAAACACACTTTAAATTCTGAATTCATATTTCGTGACACCAAAACGTTAAAAAAAAACAAGTCATTAAACTATGAATTCCTAAATATATAAAAACTATGATTTGTTGCTTTATTTGTGTAGTGGGGGCGAATGGTCAGAGTCCTTGCAATTCTTTGTATTGTTGGAAAGTGATAATTTATACTAAGTGTTGTGTTGGGACCAATGCTTTCTTGTTATTTTGTCTGCCCACACCTCAACATTCTACATCTTTTCTTCCAATTTGGCCTCTCAATCTTTATAATTCATTCTCTTATCTCTTTGTTTTTCGTTTTTGACTAAGGATAAAAATAAAGTTTCACTTGGCATGTTGAGTGATAGAGATAGTTGATTATTTGTTTTTGTTTTTTAGTAGGTGCTTTAGATACACTATATCCAAGTGAATTCACATGTATCTAAGATACATAGACAAATCTCGCTCGATTTCCTTCTATCTTGCTTGTCACTCTCTTATGTATCTGGTTTCCTAGATACACACGAATCACACTAGATACATACAGATACACATATCTAGTGTGATTCACATACATCTGGGACACTGCATGACTATCTCCCTCTCTATCTCGCTCACCTCCCTCCCCATCTCGCTCACTTCTCTCCCTATTTTAGTGTATCTGGTAGCAAAAATATATGTAGCTAGGTGTATATTCCTCAATATATGATAGGAAACTCTTAATTAGTATAGTAAGATACATAATTATTTGAAAGTGTAGGTAGAATTAGTATATATGATATGAATGTATGTCTAATAAGGTATTTTTCTCTTTTTGTAATTGAGAGACAAATTGTGCAAAAAGATTTTAAAGATATATCGCTTCCATCTCAATTTAGGTAATGATATTTGATTAAGCATGAATTATTTAATTTTTTTAAAAAGAATTACTATTTTGGAATTTTACTGTCTAAATATGCAGAGCAGAGCTAGAGATCAAGGTATAAGTTTGATCGGTTGAACCCAATAATTTTCGTCCAAACACTATTTTATCTTAAGAAATCTACTTGATACGTATAAATTACTTATTTTAGAATTCAATAACTAAGAAATACTAGAATCCTGAACCATAAATTTTAAAGTTTGATTTCATCTCCAAACATGCCTATTAATATTTATAATTATAACTATATTAAAAGTAAAACAAAAATAAGTTTTAATAAATCAAAGAGTAAAATATATGCTACATAAAATTAACCAAAATAATACTAATTTATAACATTATTTTATAATATGGAAATATGAGTACCAAGCAACTCACACAACACAAGACCCAAGCCGACCAAATCCCATGGATATTGGACTGTGCAAGACAGTCAGCAGTCTGCACTTGGGGTGGGAGTGACATTTTCTAGGATATTTAAATTGTATCATATAAGTTGAGTTTGAAACAATATTAATGTATATTAAATTGTATCATATAAATTAAGATCGAGAGAACAATATTAATGTATACACTTCAATTACGCCCAATGATCTTGATAATGCTCTTCAACTTTTGACCCCCTTTGTGCCTTTGTCTCATGGACAAATTTTCAAAGTCAAAAGTGTTGCTTATAAAATAAAATTTGTTAAATTTAAAATTTTATCCATAAAGCAATAAGGTCAAAAATACCAGACAGCTCATGATCTTAAGATCATTCTTATAAATCACCCGTTTCTATAAGGTCAAAAAGAAAATTAGAGTTAATTCTTTCGAACTCGATAGTTTTAGTTTAAATACTCATAGTAGAAACTGACATTGATTATCACTATCCTAGAATTTATAATATGTAAAGTTTAAATTCGAAAATCATTATTGAATTTATATTTGATGAAACTAGTTATGACATGAATACCATACTCTTTTATTTCATGCATGAATGGTATACAAAAGGTTTGAAAAAGCTAGGGAGATGAACTGAATTAGTTCATAATTCCTTGATTAGAGAAAGGCTATAAAACCTCACAATGAAGTAGATTAATACCCAAAAATAAAAATTAACACCATAATGTGAAAATTTTCCTCTTGGATATTTAATTTAATAACAAACATTCCATGTTGTTATACTTGACGTAACCCAATGGTAAACTCTAAATATTTCACAATATTCAACATTAGGTAATTAGGAAAATGATCAATAGTTATTTGGTAGCATTTTCACATATTTTAGTACTCCTAATGTTAGTGTTTAGTTAACATCAAAGAAATGATGGGACGATTAGAATTCTTTCATCTTTAATACTCCCTTTGTTTCAAAAAGAGTGATCTAGTTTGACTTGGCACGAAATTTAAAAAAATAAAGAAAACTTTTGAATCTTGTGGTTCAAAATTAGAGTTATGTATTGTCCTTTAATCTTGTGGCCTTAAACATGCCACATTGAAAAAATGTTACAAAAAAAAGAAAGAAGTCATTCTTTTTTAAACTGGCTAAATAGGAAAATAAGTAATTCTTTTTTAAACAGAGGGAGTAAAAGATCTCGAATTTCAATCTGAATAGTATTTTTGTGTTCAAAGAGAAAATTTCAGCTCAAGTAAAAACCATAAAAATAAGTAGTTGATAAATTGAAATTAAAACTAACACAATTTATAGAATCAAAAGATTTTGCAAAGCTAACTCAATTAACAAAAGATCAAATAATCCCCTATGTCTCTAATTACTAGTGCACTTTTAAATTGACACATTTATTAAGAAAACAACGATTGATATAGTGAATTTACCATTTTATCACTATTAATTATGAAATAGATAAATTAAAAACTTAAGATTTTAAAAAAGTTTTACCTTTTCTAAAGTAATTAATGGTATAATAGGTAAAAAAAAATTGTTCTTTCTTGATTTATTAAAATATACAAGTAATTAGGGATAACTAAAAAAAAAAATAGACAAGTAATTAAAGACAAAGAAAAAGGAAGTACTTCAAATTAAAATGGATTAGGACCATTTTGTTTGATTCATGTCTTATGCAATTTATATTTTTACTTATATTTATCTGAGTGGATTACAATCAAATTCATTTTCAATACGCTCAAATCAAACATATCCATCTATTTGTCATTACTATCTCACAAAAAACTCATTACAACAATAACAATAATATATACATATCCACTGAAATCGTATAAGTAAAACTTTAAGAGGATAGAAGGTACGCAAACTTTATTACTATCTCACCTATAGAAATAGCTAGAGAAATTATTTTCAAAAGACCCTCCGCTCAAGTATAATAAATTCAAATATAAAAAGCCATTGAAAAAAAATCTACTCCTGTGTAACATAGCATATAACATAGCCAATCAATATTAATAGGACGAGTGAATTTAGAATATCAAATAATATTTGTTGTTACTCTTAACTCCGTACTATTCTTTTGTTCCACATTTGACTCGTACTGTATAAGAAAACGCCAAATCCTTTTCTTCTGAAACGTTTCCTACAGCGCTGCAAATAAATCCAAAAAATCCTCAGTCTTTTTCTCTCCTCTTTCAGTAATAAAACCAAAAGTATCATATCAATTTTACAGCTTTTTCCAATTTTCCTTTCAAATTTTCTCGGAAAAATTCATTGTTTGAAGATTCAAATTTCAGATTCTTCAGCTTCGTCACGTTGTGTAGATGTTGTATTTTCTCGGAAAATTTCAGTATTTGAGGTTCAAACTCTAGATTCTTCAGTTTGGTTACCTTGTGAGTGCTGCTGTATTTTCAAGGAGAATCGGATTTTTTGAAATTTTAGTGCTGGATTGTTTTATTTTTAATTTTTTCATATTTTTGTTGCTTTTTTTTTTTCGATGGATGTTTGCGATTTTGTTGGCGGTGTGAAAGTGGAGGATAATGCGGTGATTGTGAAACTCCGGAGTTTGAAATGCGTTGCGAAGGTTTTTCGTGTTGTTGAGTTTTGCTTTGTGGTTCTTTTGTTGTTGTGGATTTCTACTCGTTTGCCTTTTGCGATGAGGATTTCCGGCGAGTATTTTCGTCAAATTGTCGGTTTAATACTTAGTCCTGTTTTCATTTTCATCCTATGCAACTTCATTGTCCTCATTCTCCTCTTGAAGTCCGGCCTCCACTCCGGAGACTCTTCGATTTTCCGGAATGTCGCCGGAGCTGAAGTTCTCTATGACTCGTTTCTCAAAAACACCGAGTTTTCAGCTGATTTCTCGTCCGGAAACTCTTCTCTGGTTCCGGAAATTGAAGCTCGAGATATTGTGTATGAAGACAAACAGACGATTTTTGAAGAGAGCACAGTGACAAATCAGAAATCATTCGGTTCCGAAGAACTGGAAACGGTTATGAACAAGGCATTGACGAAACCGAAAGTACCGAGGAGAACTCAATCGGAGAAGCTGAATGAGGAAAAAATTTCCGTAAAGTTCCGGAGATCGGAGACGGAGAAATGCCGGAAAGTCACAAATCCCGGTGATTCTGTATCGCCGGAGACAGTTCATGAAGTAGACGAATTAAGCAACGAAGAGTTTCAGAAAGCCATAGAAAATTTCATTGCAAAGCAAACCAAATTTCATCAACAAGAGAAATTCCCCATTGTCCTCCATAGCCAAGCTTAACAACTTCAATGATTTTGCAGAAAATTAGTTTTATTCATAAACAGGAGCCGTTGATTTGGTATCGAAGAAGGGAGTACTGATTGATCTGAGCCGTTGATAATTGCAGGAAGATGAAGATTCCAGAATGTTCCATACCAACATGCATGCATGGCTTGATCGCTGGTTTTTTTTAGCTTCAGAGATTAATTAGAAAGGTACTATTGATTAGTTCTCTACGTTTGTATTCTCGAATTAAATTTCCACTGGTTATTGTCAAAGAGAAATTTTATTTTACCATAGTTAACCAATTTTATTTTCCCATAGTTCACCAATTTTATTTTCGTAATTCAAACTCGAGACAGTACGGTTGAACCAAAAAAATACTTATCATTCTATCGTAATCTTGATAATATAAAATAAAGACCTCCAAAAATGGTACCTATATATCGTGTATTGGATAATCTATACCATTCTTTTGAGGTCAAAGAGAACAGGCAAATCACATAGCTTTTCGGATTCTTTTAAAATATTATTATTAGGTGTGTGTTGAATTCTTTAATAGTACGATATTTTAGAGGATTCAACACGAATGTAATTGACTTACCAGACAAATAAAATATACAAAAAGAAAATCAACAATTATTGGATCAGAATACGATTGCATTATATGATCTCAATCAAGCAGATAGAGTAAATTTGAATTGATGTAACATGAAATTTATTAGGCAAAAAACTTCTTCAAACCTAAATTAGATTAGCTTAATCAAATATGTACAAAAAATACTTAATAATTCGAAATTCACATATTTTGAATCTCAAAAAAGAAAAAATACATAAATTGATATATAAAATATATATTGTATATACGCATATCGAGATAAGTAGCCTTTCATGTAATGGGATATGAAAGTGATTTTGTAAAAAAGATCTTCTCCCTTTTACCTTTTCCAATTTGGATGACTTTGGATTCTGGAATACATCACATGAAAATATAGCATGCCATTTTATTAATTACACGTATTATTTTTATTTTTATTTATTACACGTATTTGGACATTTAGGTAATATTTAAATTTTAATTACACGTATTATTTTTATTTTTATTTTAGTCACTATTTGGACATTTAGGTAATATTTAAATTTTAAAAATATTTTAAATTATGAACTATTTTGGTTTATAATGTTTTTTATATCATTTTTTAAAATGTAAATTTTATTTCAGAAAAATTCAAAAATTTATATTCAAATTCTCATTGAATGTTAATTATTTTAACCCCTTTTTTTATTCAGTATCTGGTACCCCACATTGAAGCTCGATAAAATCTAAATTCGTCGAAAAGTCCTATATTAAGGGTAAAGGCTAAAGCGCTTCCTAATAAACGTGACTCCGTATCCATAGGATCCGAACTCGAAACCATGGTTAAAATATACTTTCCACTTTAAATCAATGATTAAAAATGAAGGATTACTTATCACTTTCGATCAATCGAAACAAATTGAATGAGATATAATATTATTATATGGAAAGAACAAGTGTAGTTTGCTCTCTCAAGAATAATAATTACTAGTGTTGCAGGTTGCAAAAGACATTTGATGTTTTGAAAAGACAAATGAAATTATGAGATTTTAGCTCTAAAAGGAAGCATGGGCAGTTGAGAATAATTATATATATGGATTAAGTCTAATCCATTGGTAATTAATACACATGCTTGATAAAGTATTAACAAACTTAATAATGATTTGTTACAAGATTAAGATATGACATGACATTTTCATTGTTTTACCACACTATAATTAGAATTAGTTGATGAAGTAATAACAAACTCTAAGTTCATTCTTGTTATTAAAAACTCATCATTGCTATAGTAAACATAGAGTTTCTCATAAAATAAAAGATGAAATGCATTAATAATATATCCCTTAAACTTATAGTAGCATTTTTTATTTAGACCATCGTAGAATATCTAAATATATGATAAAATGATTCTATTAGTTAGAGACTTTCGACTTCAATTTTACAAAAAAAAATCATATATGTGGTCTCTTTCCATCTTTCTGTGCGTATCCTTAAATGTTTATTACGTAGATAAGTTAACTATTTAAAATTTGTTAGTTCTTTTAATTATACACGTTGGTCTCAATAAGTCATAAAACTATATACATGTTCCTATTGAGGCTAATGTATATAATTAAAGGTGACATTTTATATATATGATTAATTTATCTACGTAATAAACGCTTAAGAATACATTTTTTTTAAATAAAAAAAAAATTAAATATAAAGTATTAATAGAAACATATTACTCCATCTGCTTAAAAAAAAAGACATATTTCTCTTTTTATTTTGTTTCAAAAAGAATGACCTCTTTCTTTTTTTGGTAACATTTTAATTTCTGGTTTCTATGTGACATGTTTAAGGCCACATGATTAAATAGCAATTTTGTACATTTGACATAACTTTAATTTAGGACCACATGATTCAAAAGTCTTATTTATTTTCTTTAACTTCGTGTCAAGTCAAACTAGGTCACTCTTTTTTAAACGAAGACAGTAATATGTTTTTAAATACTCCATTAAAACATGTCATAATTTAAACATCAAAAATAAAATATACTATAGTAATAAATTTAAAAAGTTATCGATGTATTCTGTTGGAAAAGAAATAGTATCCCCTAGGTAATCAAATGATATTCCCTCCGTTCATTTTTATTTGTCATGTTACGCTTTTTGAAATTCAATTTGACTAATTTTTAAAGTTCAATTAGATTATATTAATTCGATATTTTAAACAAAAAAATTAAATATTCAATAACTATGCGAAAAGTACTATAAATTGCAATTTTTTTACATATCAATATGATGAAAAAATATATCGTAAAATGTTAATTAAAGTTCTTATCATTTGACTCTAAAAATAAAAATTATGATAATTAAAAGTGGACGGAGAGGGTATAACTAAACCAAGACTTTCACCCATAGGTAGAGGTACCCCACTTGAAGAAGGTGTGCTTTTAACTTTCCCCAAAATGAGAACTCCACAAAAAGGGGGAAAAATTACACCAATGGTGTTTCAAGTGGATAATAAAACAGATATAACCAAATTGTTAGCAAAAGAAATACAGGCATGCATGATATGATGTCTCATTACTTTCACTATGTCTAATCTCCTAAAAGAATTCATTCAATCTTCATTTGAAAAGTTATGGACTGAAGTGAAAATCTTTGTAGTTCAATTAATTGACTATCTGAATAATCATTTTATTTGTGATATTTTGATTCTAAGTTATTTTACATTAATCCCAAGAAAAAAAGAAAGAAAAAGAACCGACTTAAACTTAGACTCCGCTATATAGACTTTGGTTTAGTTTTATGTAAAAGTGTAAGATATGATAACTAGATTAGACACACATCATGAATTCAAACCTTTTTTATAGATAAAAGATAGTGGAGTAATATTTAAGTAGAATAGGATAAGAAGATGGACATATTATTATTCATCAAATTTCTATAGCATTGACTTAAAAGATTTTCAATTATTAAGAGGAAAAAAAATGGATTTCTTCCCCTTTCTCTCTCTCTTTTGTTTTTCCACCATGTATTGGGATCCAACTTGATTTAAATTTACGAATTGTAAGACTTATTTATATGGACGATGTTCAAACTCGAGATTTCTAATTAAGGGTGAAGGATCCCAACCATTTCACCACGACCTATGTTAGTTGGATTTCTTACTCAACATTTCTTTACTCTTATCTTCCTCAACTTTGTATTTTATTTTTGCTGGCCTCTTGTTTTATTGGGGAAACACCATCATTTGTAATTCCACCAAGAAGGCAACTATGGAGAATGAGGATTTTCCTTTTTAAGCATTTAAAATAGCAATTATACTCCCCAACTAAAGGGGTGAATACTTTGTCTTTAGGTTTTTTATTTTTTTGCATATTTGCAATCATTTTGTTTTAGGAGTCTTGCCTAACATTGTTCTTCTTTTATTTGCATGCATGTTATCCCCTCTCTTCATCTTTTGTATCTCTGTCTGTTTTCTAGAAAACAAATGAAATTAAGATATTTATTGGTGGGTATCCAATCCTTATTTTTATTTTTTTTGGAAAAAATGGTTAAGAGTCTGTTTGGATTAACTTAAAAATTGGTCAAATTTATTTTTGAATCATTTTTAACTTTTGGAAGTGTTTGATAAGATTAAAAATAACTTAAAATAAGTTTAAAATGACTTAAAAAAAAGTTTAAAACCAAAAGTAGGTCTTCCCCACTTTTTATTTATTTTTGACTTAAAAGCTACTTTTTTAAAGCCAAACGGACTCTAAATTTATCTAGTCTCTGTACAATTTAAAATTGAGTAGTTTTATTCATTGAAATTGCACAATCCTCTCCAAATAAATTGATATTTAATTTTTATCCTTTAGCAATCGAACTTATGCCTATTATAAATTCTTTACGGGCAAACTTCAACATAACTTGTCGGACACAAAAATATACATGTATACCCTACAAAAAAAATTGTATAATGTCATGTAAGATACATCTGTCTACTTAATCAACTTTATATAAGTTTAAATGTGCACACTCAAAGTTGGGAGACGTAGATGTCAACTAAGACGAAAGAACACGTGTATGTATTATGTCTTCTAGTAACGATACACACCTTTAGTTGACGAAATAGGCTCTATACTCCTGTTAATTGTAAGACCAAAAATAGTGCAAAAAACTGAGAATTAACTGTACCAATCTAGGAAGAGGATTGAAAATGTAAGTACAAACAGAAAGAGCAAAAGAAAAGTTCTGCTACTGCTGTTCCGTTGAATGGCTTGTGACAGTTCTTTGTTACCAAGTTCCACATTTTGGGTAGCTTCAACTGCCTGAAATGAAAAACCATAAAATTCATACCAACTGAAGCTCGAAACTAATTACAGAAGGTATAGACTTCAACGAGAGCTTCCGTGAAGTATACAGTGATCAAAACTCATACTACAGATAATACAGCAGGATACAATATATAATGACATGATTTGCCAATGGAAGAATAACAATAACAACTATGCCTCAGTCCAAACTGCCAATGGATCCCCAATTCTTCATTTAATCTCATTTCATAGCTGTCAATGGAAGAATATCATTCTGAATTCTGTTCAGTGCACTTCAAAGAAACATGTAGCCTGGTTGATCATCTACAAACACGTATTCCATTGTTTTTAATCTTTCTTTGTTCTTTTCTTGTCATGCATGTATGTCAATTACTGACAACTGTTCAACTCAAGAGGTATATAGGGGCTTAGAATGCTTGATATTCTTCTAAATGCTTTAAAGAACAAATTAATAAAAGTATAACCGCATAGATCCGTGAATTGTGATGTTTGTTAGTTCTAACTAGGAAATGGTTACAAATGGCAAAGTTAATAGAAGAAATGCAAAGATGGTCTGACTTAGTTAAACAAAGAGAGAGAAAATGATTTACTTGTCATTTTAGCAAGATAGAAGCTCTATCCATCTAGAAAGTAAAATAGCAACAATACCGCTAACCTGCTCATATAAAAGCTCTATCTGTTGGGCTTGTTGCAAAACATGAGTAGACATAAGGTGGTTTAGCGCAGACATTTCCACCATCTTTGTTTCTGTTTCTTGAACAGAATCCAGGAGACTGTTCAGTTCTACCTGCATCATGTGAGTGATCATAGTAGTCAAGAGTACAGGAATAGTGTATGTGATTTTAGCTTTAAGAAGTTGCTTGCTAGAACTAAATCCTCTATAAGAAAACTTCCAACTTACCTGGAGGGCACGTGTTTCATCGTCCAAAAGTTGTTCTTGGACTCTTAAAGGCGCTGCTTGTGATACATCACTGTCCCTGACCTCAGAGTCCCTTTTCATGTCGGGATCCAAACTACTAGAAGCAGAGGCCTCTGCAGCATTTGATTTGGTAGTGCTCTTACGCTTCCTTCTTGGTGTAACTCGGTTAATAGCATCTTGAAAGCGTATTGCCCGCAACTGATCAAACTGTGATGTAACAGAGTGAAGCTTTTCACTTAAAATTAGAACCTGCAGTATAATAGGAAACAATGAATATGAGGATATGCATCCACACTCCAAGATCAACAAGCACAGCAGTGCACCATTAGGTGTATATACTACTAAAGGATTTTCCCCTATGGTGAGTCTCATGATAAACCCGAAGAAATATGCTTTCAAATGCCTCGGCACTCTTTTCTAAAGGATCTTTTTTTTTTCTTTTACATCCTCAGGTTCACTCTTAGCGTAACACGAGGCAGTTTGAAAACAAGTAGAAGAAACAGCTTTAGACCTACTTCCATCTGATTACACACAGTAGCTTAGGTTGAAAAATTATATTTACATCATCAAGAAGTATTAATAATCACCACAATCTAGTGGCTTCAATTATTCCATCTGCAGTTGCAGGTGTATGTCAATGAGTCAGTGATATGTTGTACAAATCACAGAGCAACCACATATTGCATCCACTTTCTAAGAAGCAAAATTCAGGGAAAGAAAATCTGCGGAAGTAAGAGATCCAAATTTAAAGTATTACTAGAATCCAAACAAAGACAACAATTTTGAAGTATTACCACTAACATCAGAGATCATTTAAAAAACTTCTCTATTTAAAACAGGCTATTTGTCGAAAATATGAAACACCAGCAGAGAATGGGGGGCAAAATAACTGTGATATGACAGTGTCTGCTGATTGTAGAAAGTTACACTAAAACATCGACTTCCCAAATAGTAAAATAAAAATAATCTTTAAGTTGAGGTATCTAACATAGGCACATGGAACGTTATAAAAAGAATAGTCACATGCATATAAGAGTATTCTACTAACAGAGTGATATCAAGGACAAGGACACAACATCAACTCCTCTAACGTCACAGGTCATCTAGTAATATCTTTAATTCAAACAGTATCGATAAAGTTACTTCAGAATTTCCAAATACCAGCAGAAAGTGGGAAGCAATGTATCAGGAAGCAGTACTAATCAAATTATAGAATATTTGATGACTATATTGTATGTAGCAACCATACCACTCCATGCTTGTGTGCTATAGTATCAGCATTCAGATTGTCACCCTTCAATCCAAGCCATCCTTTTGAATTTGCATCTTCCTCATTTATACTGTTTCTGAGAACATCTATCTGCTCTTTGCATGATTTTACAAAAATAGTAACCTACAGAAAGTAGTGTTCGTAAGATCCTTCCAAAAAATTTAACTCAAAACTTCACAATCTCTATTAAGTGCATTAGCATTCAAAACAAAGCTGCACAAGAAAAAGTCAAAACCATAAAGGTGGACAAGGATCTCTTTCTTCAGACTCAAAAGTTAATAAGGACATCAAACTTGACAAAGCATGAAAAGAAGATGCAATACTATCAAATATTTCAAGGGAGTAAACAAAGATCTAGTTTTCAACTTTTCACAAGAAATTGACCATAGTAAATGGCAGGAAAATAAATCAAACACAGCACCTTGGTGCAGAAGTGCCAATTCAGTAAGTCAAAGTAGTTTATAGTCAAACTTGGAGTTAAGAGTACTGTAACCACCAATTCAACTTCCATTGGCTTTCATCCTTCAATTTTCTTAGTAATTTTCCAGGATTTATATTATTGCCTGGACTGAACTTAATACTGTTTACAGAATATTAAGAATTAGTTAAGCAATATAAAAAATGAAGATAAGAAAACAAGAAGATCATTACTATACAAGATCAAACTTTTGAAAAATGTTGAAGATGCGTATCAGGATCAATTTATTCTATCATGCACCCGGTTCTTCTGCTGATTTTAAAAACCACAAATGTGGGCTATCCCTAAAGCACTTGGTAGAGCAGTGAGCTACTTAGCACTTATTCAAGGTCCAGGAGGAGTTCAGGATTATGTTTCCATGAAATGGAATTTGCGATCAGGAGTCACTTTCCCCATCCACTACCCCTTAGTCATACCTGCCACCCAAATACCAACCCCCCCAAAAAAAAAAAAAAAAAAAAACTGACGAGAGAGATGTTATTATGTTAAATTTACTCTTTTACTAGATCCATACCTAAAACTAGGGAAAATATGCCCTTTGTCATATGATTATGTCTTTCATACCAATTGACTTCATTTTCAATAATTCTTATAGAAATCATGCACTGCAAGATTAGCCCCAATAATAAAAACGCATGTGACGTAAGATTGGACACACCTGTGGTATCTAAATGCATACAATTCAGATGTACAGACCCAGTTTTCTAAAAGAATGGCATCATAGAAGAAAGTTTGATGGTTGCAATAGAGGAATGCTACAAGAGGCCTCTGCAGATGATAATTAACAAAGAGAAAGGCAAGTGCTATAGAATGATTTTGAGACCAATAATATTATATTGGAGTAAATGTTGGGTCTCAAAGTCAACATGTTCACAAGATGATTGTAGTATGAATCTAATTGGCAGTTTCTACAAAGTGCTGTCCAAGTTATTGGCTAACAGACTCAAATCTGCCATGTGCAAGCTGATCTCCCCTTCTCAAATAGCTTTTGTAAGAGGTAGACAGATTGTATATGCCTCACTCATTGCAAATGAATGTATAGACTCCAGATTGAAGCAGAAAAAGGTTGGTATTTTATTCAAACTAGATATCGAAAAAGCTTTTGACCATATGCACTGGGACTTCTTGATTAACATATAAAAGTTGATGGGCCTCAGGGAAAAATGGGTCAGATGGATCCATTTCTGCATTCCCACAGTCAAGATGTCCATTAACATCAATGATCACCAAAGGTTTCTTTACTACACAAAAAGGTCTAAGGCAAGAGACCCTCTCTCCCCTTCTCTTTTCACCTTGGTTATGGAAGGCCTAAGTGGAATGCTTGGAGCAGCAGAAGTTCATGGGTGGATTAAAGGCTTCAATCCAAGTTTGAGGAACCAGGGAGGGAAGCATATCACCCACCTTTTGTATGCAGACTGATTTTTTTATCCGTGCATGGTTCTTTTGTTCTTTAAAGCAGTATTGGGCCTTCATATTAATTACTCCATGAATGTTCTCTACCCGGTAAATGATGTTCCTAACCTACTGGAAATTTCAGGAACTTTGCGATGTACAGTAGGTTCTTTTCCTGCAAAATACTTGGGACTCACTTTAGGGGGAAAATCTAAATCCGTAGCAATTTGGGATGACATCTTGGAGAAGTGTGAAAGGAAACATCTCTTGCTGGAAGAGTAAGCTTATCAAGAGTCTTGTTCCCTTTGCCAATAGCAGTGGTGCATAAAATAGACAAAATACTTAAGACTTTATGTGGAGGGGTAATAGAGAGAATGCGACCTTTATTTTGGTTAGATGGAGTGCGGTGTCAACAGACAAGAAGTCAGGAGGCTTGGTTATTAGAGACTTAAAGATTCAAAGTAAAATTTTACAGTTTAAGTGGCTTTGGACTTGGAGGTTCAGGAAGGAGGTGGGAGCATTGTGGAGAGATGTCATTGTGAAAAAATATGGATTTCTCAATCCATGGATAACCAAACAACCATATCTCTCCAAAACATGTGGTATACAGAAGCATCTGAGAACTCACTGGGACATTTTTCAAACACTACAGTAGAAACTGAGAATGGTGCGAAAGTAAGATCTGGACACACTTGGATTAGACTGACCTCTGTAAATAATTTAGAACTCTTCTTGGATTTTGTTAGCTCTATAGCTTAGAAAGACGCTACAAATCCTTTTTTTGTGAGCTTAACTGATCTATCCTTGTAAAGCTTGCATCTTCTTGATGCCTTGAAATGAATCTACTTGCTTCATAAAAAATAAAAAAAAGATTCTGGACACACTTGGTTGGGCTCTTCATCTTTGAAGGATCAATGTCCTTTCCTATGTACAGTTGCACAGAATCTTGAAGCATTAATATCAAAATATTGGTCCAACTCTGGCTGGGATATTACATCCAGATGTAGTATGAATGACTGGGAAGAGTACAACCTTTGATCTTTGTTGTCTCAGCTACACAGTCTGCCTCCTCTTCTGTCCAGAAACAACTCTTCTTTTTTTTTATGACAAGGGAAACCCGCAGCCACTACCCTTTGGGTGCGCACAGGGTAAAACCCTCGCTCCTATGCAATAGCTTGCAAACCACATAGAAGAGGTTAACCCGCACTAGGCAAGCCCGGTGTGACGAGCTCAACCCAGAAGGCAAACCCCTTGCTTTCGCTGGCAAGGGGTTTCGAACTTGAGACCTCCAACATGGAAGTCCCAAGCCCAAACCACTGGGCCACCCCGAAGGGTCCAGAGACGACTCTTTACTCTAGAAATGTGACACTAAGGGATGTTTCTCTGTTATATCATGCTACAAGCAGTTAAGTCTTCCCCCAACTGAAAATTGGCCTTGGAAGTGTATTTGGGAAAACAAAGCTCCTATATAGTGGAATGTTTAGCATGGTTAGTGGCGAAAGGAGCCTGTTTCACACATGAAAACCTTCAGAAAAGGGGAATTAATTTATGTAGCAGATGTTTGTTTTGTAACAATGAAGCTGAAGATATCAACCATTTATTTCTTCATTGTAAGTTTACATCTCAGATATGGAGACTCTTTCTCGTTTTACTGGAATTAAATGGGTAATGCCAAGAACAACAAAGGAACTACTAGAATGCTGGCACTTGAAAGGTCTTGGCAAGGTGAAGAGGGAACTTGGAATACCATCCCTGCGGTGATTTAGTGGACTATGTGGAAAGAAAGGAATGCGAGAGTTTTTGAGAGCAAATCTGCATCTGTAATTAGTATCAAATACTAGTGTATATCCTCTCTTCTTCTTTTTGGGGTGCAACATGGTTATTGCAAATGACTTAGATCCCATGATTGACTTCCTGAGCTCATTGCACAATTTGTAATGTAGCCTCCTTTTGTACTTATTTAATAGCAATATCTAATTGCTGAAGTTAATTTACTTACCTTTAGCAATCAAGAAAATAAACGATGAGTGTTGTATGAACATAAAAGTTAAGATTAATGCACGCCATACACAAATAGACAAGATTGTAAATTACCTCATCAGATAGAAAGAGTAAGTAGCAAGGGCCCTGGAGGTCAAATTTCAACTGTTCTGAAAGTTACTACTACAACAACATACCCGGAGTAATCCAACAAAGTGAGGTCTGTATGCAGACCTTACCCCTACCTCAGAGGTAGAGAGGTTCTTGCCAATAGACCCTCAGCTCAAGAAAAACAGTCCAGAAAGAGAATAAATGGATGTGGAACCATAACAAAGGATTCTGAACAGCAACTACAACAAAATATTATGATAATCGAAGTACAAGAAACATCTGATGTTTCTTGAAGTTACTGAATGAATCTTTTAGGAAATACAAAATAAGGAATAGTGATTTGTATATTACTTTTATGACTTCTTTTCTATTTTTTTTAGAAAGACTTAGTAGCATAGATAGAGGAAAACATAAGACAATATTATCTGAGATGATTAGGGAATGTCCTACATAAACCCCTGAAAGTACTTCTTTAAAGATGTGATATTATGGTGTTAAAAGTTCTAAAAGCATATAAAGCAATGGAAGAAAAAAAACCATATGGATGATACCAATTTGGGACTAAGGTATAGTTGTTCTTACACTTGCATTTGACCAGGTCGAGGTAAGTGTGAGACTTTTTGAACATTTAATTTAGCTAACCCCTAATTTGCCTTAAAAGGATTTCTTTTTAAGTATTAAAATAAAATGGATTCTTTCTTTCTTTTGTTGCGGTTTGTTTGGGCCATTTTTGTATTTGTTTTACTTGACTCCTTTGATTTTTATATATTATGTGGCCTATTGGTCATTTTGAGGAAAATAAAATGGATCCAAATATAGCAGGAATAGATATAAAAAATACCTATAGCCGTCCCAACTTGTTTTAAATTGGAAGTAGATTGATATTTTCTTTTTAAAAAAAATTGCAAATCACCACCAAATAGAGGCAAAACAGTATAATTGTCTCGAATATGTAATCATGATTCCAACCTCACCCTTGCGATATGGCCTAATCCTATTTGCAAACTGAAATACCCCTTTGTTTTCATCAACATATATTTGATAAGAGACCATCATGCAGAAATAACAAAATATATCTATGTACATCAGCATAGCAGCAAGAAGAAGATAGTCTAGCTAATCATCCTGTTCTGAAATCCATACAAGAAAAAAGGGAAATAAGTACAAAAAGAGAAGAAAGGAAACATATATGAAAGTATGTAACCTTACATCATGCTCAATGCTATCCCTCTCTTGTTCAGTAGTACGGTGCAAATCAACATAATCCTTCTTGTGTTTCATCAAAAATTGCTCTAGGGTCCCAATGCTCTCCAGCTGATTAATGAAATTTTATGAAAAGGATTTTCGGTTTGCGATTGTGTATGAGCAAAAGGATATAAAATCCAAAGCACAAGGAAAGTAACAAAAGAAGATCAGCATTATGTGTAAGAAAAATATACCGTTTTAAGTGCAGCTCTGATGAATCCTGACCTTTGCCGGGGTTTATGCATGATAAAAGATGCCAATAAAGCAGCTGTTTTAGACTGTCAGCAAAAATCTAACTTCAGAGGACATATTCTAAGATCTGATGGTAGTATCACATAGGCTTAACAAAGGGGTGGGGTTGGGGGAGTGGGGGTTGGGGAAAGAGAGTGTTGAAATTTAATTAAATGGAATACTAGTTCCCACACAAATAAGAGAATTATAAATCATCTGCAATGAAAACAAAACTGCCAGACATTTGCAACCACACAAATTATTGATCAGTTTTGGAACCTGATTTTTAGAAGGTTCCTCAATGACTGGGAAGTGGAGAGAATGATTCGGTTCTATAATACCTTGGAACAAGCCAAGAACCTCACTTGTGAGGAAGACAAATTGACATGGAAGCTGGAGAAAGATGGCAAGTTCAAGGTGAAATCAGCCTACAAATTACTAGACACTTCAACTGAAACAAAGGAGTTGTGGCCCTTTGGAAGATGATCTGGAAAGGGAAAATACCACATAAAGGTGGCTTAACTTCACATGGCTTGTTGCAAGACAATCTGTTCTGACTCAGGATAACTTAATGAAAAGAGGAAAGGACTTATGCTCCAGATGTTTTTTTTGTGAATTTGAGACAGAGACAATAAACCATCTTTTTTTGCATTGTAAAGTGACTGAGAAGCTATGGAAGTATTTCATTAACCGAAGAGGTATCACATGGACCATGCCTAGAAATACTGCAGAAGTCCTAGCATGTTGGAATAGAGATGGAAATCAGTCAGGACACAAGGAGAGATGGAAGATTGTCCCTGCCTGCATCTGGTAGGACAATATGGAGTGAGAGAAATCAGAGATGTTTTGAGAACAAGAGCATCCCTTTCCAAAGCATTAAAATGAATTGTTTAGTGACCTTTTACTTTTGGTGTATCCATTCTATTCCCAAGGATCCGGGGGACATCACCCTATTCTTAGATAGTTTATGAGGGAGATAGGTGTTTAGTTTCTTTTTGGTAAACCCTCTATACTTTTGATGTAATTACTACAGGAGTTCACTATTGGTGTACTTCTATGTTTATAATACCAGTTAACTTTCTCAAAAAAAATAATAATTATTGATCAGTTTAATTATAGAACCGAGCATCTGATCCAGGGATGGTATGAACAATTGATACATGAGGAAATTAAAGAAGCTATATGCACAATCGGACTCTACATAATAGGCAAAGGATTTAGGGTCCATATGAGCATGAAGATTCTTCAAGGCATTTCACAGCACGCTACATTATTCTGTAGACCAAAAATAGAGAAAAGCAATGAACTGAATAAGTTAATGTACCTCATCATATCCCAAAGACAATGCTGATCGACGTGCAACATCTTTAAAATCTTCCGTTCTATCTCTAACTTTTGACATTCCTTCAATTGCAGGAGAAAATAAGAAGATTTCTTCTTATCAAATGATGCAGTTTCAATGGTATATAATGGTTTGGTATATCCCAGCAGAAGACCGAAGATATTCTTCCTTCCAGGTAAAACTCTACAGAAAATGAAGTTACCAAGTTCCAATTCATCAACTAGACAACTACAATCCCAGCTGTAACAACTTATAATCAGAAAACATAAACCAAACTCGTAGTTGGAGATATTAGTAATCAAGTTCTCTATATACTAATCCTGATTAAAGAACATGATACTAACCTTAGTCGTGGCCCATGTAGATGACCTAATTTGGATTTAAGGGATATTTCAACTAATGGATTTCAAATGCTTAGATCCTAGACAAATAGAGAATGAAATTGATTGTTTTTAATAGTTAGAAACGCTTAGAAAATCAATGAATCAACTACTTCTCAATCCAAGATCAGCTTAGGTCGTCTATACAGAAACACTTACGAAATGACTTCAATAAGTCGTTTGTTGCCGACCATACCAAGAGATCTCAAAAGTAGTGTATTTACATAATTACAATTTAGTCCCAATTTTCTGTTCCTATTTCTTTAGCAACCTAAGTCAGCTTATTAGGATAATGTTGTCATTTCTATTTGTCTAGGGTTCTCTTTTGCATTACACAAATACCTTGTACGTACTCATTTGGGAAATATTAATGAAAATCAACTTTTAGCTCTCTTTAGAATAGCTTTAGCTTAGCTAGATTACAGCTTGGTTTCCTCTTAAATTCTACTCTACATCATTTGGTATCAGAGCATCATCCTCGCAACTGTGGGTATTCATCAATGGCTTCCGAAATGGAGAAGAATAGAGAAAAGGTGCAGAAGCTTGCTCTGCAACTCTCTAGCACATTTCAACTAAGGGAAATCAAAGATTCTTGGGAAGTGATAAGGGAACAAGTAGACCCACACTTCAAGTCTTCCTCGGGTACACCAATATATCGGATCTTTTGACAAATTGATTCTTCTTTCTGAAGATATAACGGAAACTGAGAAGCTCTGATATCTCAACATGTCATTCCCTCTGTCAATTTTCGAGCACGGGGGGAACTAACGGTTTTGCTAATTGGCATGTTCGATGGTTTTTCTGATTATGAGTCTTGTTATGTTGACCATGGGACATTTGTTGCTGATGAACAATATTTGAAATTCATTCTGAGTTGAGTGCAAATGTATTTCCTTCTCTTACTAAGTATGGTCCAGGACATTTACTAGTAATGTTGTTGGCAAATTATTGACTTGCACATTGTCCTCTGATTTGTGCGTATGTCATGGTATAACCTTAGCTATCGAGAAAGTTGGTTTGGCTCTTCATGAGTGTGACAATATTCTTTCCCCAGCTCCGCTGAATCAATTTGCGAGTGGGATTCCTGCAGCTGAGAGAACACTGCTGGATTGTGGATATGGAGGAGAAATAATGTGTTCTGGAGTTCCCTGTTACAATAAGGGCATTTCATTGGTCCATGCTCCATTAACAGATAAAAGCAAATGGAGACTGCTTGATGTCCTCCATGAAAATTTGAGAGATCCTAATCTGCAGATACAAGGAGATGTAGCAGCCTTGAAAAGCTTCATGCCTGCTTACCTTGCAGCATTGGAAGGTAAAGATTCTCATGCCATTACATCAAGATACCTTGAGCAACTGACTGGTTCTAATGTGGCTATTAGATAAGGATCTGCATTTTCTCTTGGTGTTTCGCACAAAATAATTGGGGTTGTTGGTCATATTATTCCATGGAAATTTCCTCTTTTTCATGCTTACTCTTGCTATATACAACAATACCATTTTAAACATTCTGAGCATAGAACAATCAGTGTCTTACATTTCTAATTTTGAAAGGTGAGAAAAGGTGGAAAAAGACTACCGCCGACAATACTTTCCAGTGCTCGAAAAGGATATTGTCTCCCTACTTAGTATTTTCAGTACTCAGCTGACCATATCCCTAATAGACAGATTATTAATTCTTATGATTCTTATTTGGACATTTCTTCACTGTTGGTTGGAGCTAGTAGCATTAACTGCTGTGCCAGGTCTTTCTGCCTCTTAAGTGTGACTTTTATAAGTCTCTGGATATCATTTTCTCTCAAGTTCATAATCACACTGTAGTTTCACCCAGTGATAAGCAATATAGTTGTCTCATAGACTGGAGGAGTAAATTGGGGCAGCCGACACATATTCTAAAATTCATAAACAAGTTGTGCAATACTATTAATATGGAAAGGCAGCAAGCTCAGTTGTTAAGAATATCACTTGGTGGTAATATTGCATCAAATGCCTCTCTTCAATTTCAACATGGTCTTGCAATGAAGATAATTCTAGAGTCTAAAGTTGGACTACTAATCTTGGCAGCATTTTGAGGCCAATTGTTGCACTTCCAGTTTTCAACATTGTCTCTTTTACATGGTTCATTCTGGAGATGCAACAAAAGGTACTAATGATGATGAAGATTCATAGCCTGCCAGATGGGTTAACATTTGCATTTCTCAGTGAAAATGATACAAAACAAAACTACTTTTGTTAGTAGGATGACATGGCTCTTGGAGTTAAACCGTGGGGACAACATATATTGCAGGCTTAGATTTGATGACTCAAATAAAGAAAAGATATGGCATCATGGATGTGATTCTGCCTTGTGACTTGCTTTGAAATACCCTAATGGGAAAGGAGCACTCGCATTGTAGTGGAAGATTAAAACATTTCAAAGGTTCTATTTAAGTCAAATCCTGGAGGAATTTCTCAAGAATATTTACTTCTTTTGTGGTGAGGCAGTTGACAAGGCATCAGGAAAACACCGTAGAGATATGAGGAGAAGACTCAATGCAGTCACTCTATTGGTCCCTAAAGCTTCTGACAGAAAGTTCGTTGAAATTGGGTTAAAAACCATTGCCCCTGTGCTTGTTTTCTACTTGCAGTATGACTTTGTTAAGCATGAATTTTGGAAGCATAAACTCATGGATGCTTGCTGGAGTTCAAGTAAATTTTGGAAGACATCCATTATCCCTTTCATTTCTTTAGAATAGCTTTAGCTTAGCTTAGTTTATAGCTTGTTTTCCTCTCAAATTCCATTTTACTATCATATTTCATGTCAAGCACTAACACCTCAAGTACAAAATGATAAATATTTACTCTCCTGTGTTCTTACTGTGTTTTCTCTCTTCTCAAGTAGAAAGTTCCACAATTTGATTACTAATACTCACAAATCAGAGTGTAAACCAAAAAATGGATCATTTATGCTCTTGCGAAAAAAACGCACAGAGAACTAGAAAATGAAGCTAGGGCTATCATTATGAAGTGAGAGCAGAGTAAAAGCATTGTAACCCAATCATTGATCATATAAGACCGAGTTCTAGGAAAAATTTACCTTCCTCAAAATCAGTTGACCGTAAAATCAATTCGCTCACGCAACCAAATCAGGCAATTTTGAGTGCCGCCGATTCCACCAATCCCGGGGACTTCGCCGCCGGTAATATGATTCCGCCGGCAATTATGACTTCTTTTTTTCTGTAATTATTATACGATGAAGAAGAAAAGAAAAGATAGGCAACTGTGTTCAAGTTCATATGAACCGGGTCGGGTTTAAATGGGATCCGTTTCAAAATGGGTAATTTCAATTAAAATTAAATAATATTTTTGTTAAATTGGGGAAAATCATTAGGGAAAAAAAAGAGCAACTTTCACATATAGCAAACACAAAATTTATATTTGTATGTTATAGCAAAATTTGCATAATTGCGCTCCATAGCAAACATATATATGTATAATTCGTTATACATATACAAAAAAACAGTTGTATAATTCGCTATACATATACAAAGAAAGCAGTTGTATAATTCGCTATACATTTACAAAAGAAAGCAGTTGTATACAAAAGATCAATTGTATAATCTGTATATGTATAAAACGAGAAAGAGAGAAAGGCAAAAGAAAACTGGGCAGATAAATATTTGTAATGTATAATTATAAGTGTATAGGACGAAAATATATGTATTTACATGTGTATATACAATTTTTTTTCTTCGCTTTATTACAAACAGAAACGCAATTTATACAGTTTGTTATAGGGTACAATTAAATCAAAGTATATTTATAGCATTTAATTTGAATTAATAGTTTGTTATTATGTACAATTATCCCAATAGACCCAAATTGAAAATGTATCTCTTTTGTTCTTATTTTTTTTTATTCTTCCATTTATTGTTTCATTCTTTTTATTATTATTATTTTGTTTTTGTTCTTTTCTCATGTATTACTTCTATCCTTTCGTCGCCTTTTATACTCTACAAGATACAAGACAGGTAACTTGTTAAGGATCTCCATAGTCATATCGTTCTTGAATTCGATTCGTGTGGTCTATTAAAAGGTAAACACATCAAAAATGGTTAAAAACACTTAAAATAAGTCAATTCAAACATCGAGTTGGGGGAAAATTATGAAAATCCAAGCAACAACAATTGAAATTAAAACTCACCTGATAAACATCCATCTGCTTTGTGTTATTATACGGCTCTACAATGCACTTCCCTGCAATGGATTGGGCATTGAAAACCCTAATCTTTTGAGTTTCTTCTTGTCTATTGCTAATGGTAATAATTTGATTGAGAATTAGATTTCTGATTCTTTTTCATAATTGGAGTAACAACAGTGCTTCTCTATAAGTTTTTTTTTTTTTATTTGCAGAAAATGGAACGAAAATACCTGTTAGGATTTATTCCTTTGTAGAGTGACAAATGAGTGAGCCCAATCAAATATTTTTATTTTTAAAAAAAAATTAACTTTTTTTAATTGTTTTAATAGCCCAAACAAATATGAGTCGAATAAAAATGTGTTAAATAATATGAGATAAAATATTCAACTTGATTTATATATTTTAAACAGGTAAATATGAGTTTTCCAATAATTAATATGGATAAATATGAATACTCATATTATAGTAGAAATTAGAAATGACTAAATGAGTAATTTATATGGCTATTTATTCAAATTAACTCATTTTAAATGGGTTGGCTACCCTGTCCTCTCAGAATTGGTTCCTTATCTCTCATTATTTTTTTCTTAAAAAAAACAAAAGATCATACTAACCAATTGATACGAAGTTTTGTTGATAATACATTCTTGTATATATGCTTAGACATTCATGTAGTTCTTTATTTTGACTTTTCCTATTAATAGTATACACTAATGGTGATCCTCTCTATCTTTATGTAGTTTGATCGTAAATCCCTGATATTGTCTCTTATAATTTAATCATTTTTATTTTGTGTTAAAGTTCTTTAATCTTTTTCATCTTGCGTTAAAGTTTTTTGATCTAGGAAATGAACTTAAATAAATTCTTAAGTTTATGTTAATGTCTTAAATAAATTTTAAGTTTATGTTAATGTTCTTATCTTCGGCAGAGAAACAATAGTTATAAGCATATTCATTCATTCATGATAAGAAAGAAAATAGAATATATATATTCAACAGAGAAGTAAATAGTAAGCACATTCATTTATGATAAGAAAATAGAATTTGAGATTGAAAAGTAGCGCTACAATCAATTTCACCATGTGAATCACCCGAAGTTGTCATAGATCCGTCATTAATCATCGTTGTTCCGTTATTTTCTTTTTCATTGTATTGAAATCAATGCCCTAAGAGATATCATGTGTTTGGAAACCATTCGGAATTCAAATACTTTTAATAAAATGATAATCTTTGATTTATTATAAAATGATTATCTTTGATTTAACTGGAACGAGCGAACTCACTTTTTAGATGTGATACTCAAATTGAGATCCACACTTTTAATAAAATGATAATTTTGTTATAACTAAAAACTCAATTTTTAGATGTGATACATAAATCAATGTAGTATTTATGCATCTTGATGGTGTATGAGGTCGAGACCGCCACTAGACGTCTTAGTTACGACTAACTAATCAAATTGTTAATAACTAACTAATCACACCGTATAAGTAACTAATCAAATTGTTAAACTTAAGAGTGACAGAGATGCTTCATAATTTTCTCTGATCAACACAATTTCTTACTGCTCTTTTAATTTGTTTTCGCTTATCAATAAAAAAATATATTTTCTTTTTATTAATAATTCAAAAGGATGACTTGCAACGCCATTATCCAATTATCAGTGGCGATTCTTATTTTATTAAATAATTCATATTTAATACTATTATTTTAGTTGAAAAAGCCTAACATAAACAAGAGTGTAGCAATATTAATAGTTATTTAACGAAATACATATTACTATATAAGAAGAGGGAATAAGTTTTCACCACAAGGCAACATGTGTTCCAATAAGAATCACTACTAATATCCAATATATTTATATGTGGGCCCCACTACCTTCCACTTAAATACTACATATTATATATTAATTACTATACTCTAAATGACTTAAATACTCCATATTATATATTACAATAATTAACAATTATTTGACACTTTAAATTCTATCAATGCCATATAAATTAAGATAAAAAAGGTAACATATAATATTTAAATATATTTAAAAATAATATAACTAATACTATACATTACAATAAGTAACACCTTAAATATTTAAAAGTTATATAAAAAATTTAATTGACTCTCTAAATTCTATTGGTACCACATAAAATGGATTATATGATAAACATATATTGTTTGAAATTCACGAAAAAGAAACAATAAATTACAATAATTAATAAAAAAAATAGTCGACTCCAAAAAATCTATCAATTAACAACATATATTGTTTGAAATTGACGAAAAAGAAACAATAAATTACAATAATTAATAAAAAAAATAGTCGACGAAATTGACGAAAAACAAATTATAAATTACAATAATTAACAAAATAAATCTCTCGACTCCAACAAATCTATCAATTAATGCCACATAAATTGGGACATGGCAAATAACATATATTATCAAAAAATTAGGTTCAAAATGTACAATAAAATACAATAATTAACAACTTAATATATTAAAGAGACATATAAAAAAGGGTTAATATTTGAAATTCTGCATCTGCCACATAAATTAGAACAAAGAGAGTAATAAATATTATTTTCAAAATTATGTTAAAAAAAGTACTACAAATCACAATAGATAACAATTTAAAATATTTTTAAAATCATATAAAAATTTCAATAACTTCTCAAATTCCATAATATAACACTTAAATACTACATATTATATATTAATTACTATACTATAAATGACTTAAATACTCCATATTATCTATTACAATAATTAACAATTATTTGACACTTTAAATTCTATCAATGCCATATAAATTAAGATAAAAAAGGTAACATATAATATTTCAATATATTTAAAAATAATATAACTAATACTATACATTACAATAAGTAACACCTTAAATATTTAAAAGTTATATAAAAAATTTAATTGACTCTCTAAATTCTATTGGTACCACATAAAATGGATTATATGATAAACATATATTGTTTGAAATTGACGAAAAAGAAACAATAAATTACAATAATTAATAAAAAAAATAGTCGACGAAATTGACGAAAAACAAATTATAAATTACAATAATTAACAAAATAAATCTCTCGACTCCAACAAATCTATCAATTAATGCCACATAAATTGGGACATGGCAAATAACATATATTATTAAAAAATTAGGTTCAAAATGTACTATAAAATACAATAATTAACAACTTAATATATTAAAGAGACATATAAAAAAGGGTTAATATTTGAAATTATGCATCTGCCACATAAATTAGAACAAATAGAGTAATAAATATTACTTTCAAAATTATGTTAAAAAAAAGTACTACAAATCACAATAGCTAACAATTTAAAATATTTTTAAAATCATATAAAAATTTCAATAACTTCTCAAATTCCATAATATAACACTTAAATACTACATATTATATATTAATTACTATACTATAAATGACTTAAATACTCCATATTATCTATTACAATAATTAACAATTATTTGACACTTTAAATTCTATCAATGCCATATAAATTAGGATAAAAAACCTAACATATAATATTTAAATATATTTAAAAATAATATAAGTAATACTATACATTACAATAATTAACAGCTTAATTATTTAAAACTTATATAAAAAATTTAATTAACTCTCTAAATTCTATTGGTACCACATAAAATGGATTATATGATAAACATATATTGTTTGAAATTGACGAAAAAGAAACTATAAATTACAATAATTAACAAAATAAATCTCTCGACTCCAACAAATCTATCAATTAATGCCACATAAATTGGGACATGGCAAATAACATATATTATTAAAAAATTAGGTTCAAAATGTACTATAAAATACAATAATTAACAACTTAATATATTAAAGAGACATATAAAAAAGGGTTAATATTTGAAATTATGCATCTGCCACATAAATTAGAACAAACAGAGTAATAAATATTATTTTCAAAATTATGTTAAAAAAAGTACTACAAATCACAATAGCTAACAATTTAAAATATTTTTAAAATCATATAAAAATTTCAATAACTTCTCAAATTCC